TCACATGCCTTAGGCAAGTTTTCAAGAGGGACTATGTTTCCAAGTTTTTGGAAAAATACATCATGCTGGGAAAACTGGAGAGTCCAAAAAAGAGAGGAAGACCTTTAACAAGATGTTGACAGAGTGACTCCAACAGTAGACTCTGGTGCACTCAATAGACTGCTGGTACAGGACAGGGCAAGGTTTAGATCTGTTGTTCTAGGATAGCTGTGAGTAAGAGTTGACTTGATGGCACCTGACAACACCACCAACTCTAGTGTAGAAAAAGTTGAACATTGGGAAGGCTTAATAAAAAGCCTGCATGATGGTAAAGATTTGACATTTAATGTCTCTTCCCCTTTAGTCCTCAATTCTGGTTTCTGTTTTATACACCCCACCAAAAATTATGTGACATATAAAAATTTCTGGAAATTGACCAATGGATTTTTTTCAACAAACTTTAGTTCTCAAGAAGTTAAATATATCTTATGTATTTCTGTCCTCCCCTTTCTTTCTAATTAAATGTGGGGTTCTGCCTGGATGATGAGAGATTTATTTGGGTCTTGAGGAAAGATCAGTGTGGGGAAAATATTATTCAGATTCGCTCATTTACTTTTGTAAGTCCATGTAATGCTGTTGTTGTGTACCATGGATACAGAACCGATTCAGAGCTGCACTCCAACTAGTTTTTATAGGCAGTGAATCACATGGGAGGAGATTATCCATCATTTTCCCACAGCGTAACTGTGGATTTGTACTGCGTGCCTATGGATTACCACTAGAGCCACCAGAGATACTATATTCTTTTGATTACCCATTTGGCTTAACTCTAAATCATAGAACAGATGATAAAAGGTTTTATTAATTGAATTGTATCCCCAGAAATATATAATGGAAATCCCAACCTATGGATGAAATCTCATTTGGAAATAGAGTTTTCTTCTTTCTCAGGCTATCAGCCTAAAACAGTGTAAGGGGTACCTTAAATCTAACCATTTTGAGATCTAAAAGAAGAAGAAGGAGGAGGAGGAGGCACAGGAAGAGGAGAAGGAAGAGGAGGAGCAGCAACAGCTCTTGTAGCTTAGAACTAAGGAATTACACTGTCAACCCAAAGGCAGAGTTCAAATTCACAAGCTGCTTTGCAGGAGAAAGATGGGCAATCTCCTCTCATGAAATTAAGAGCTTCTGAAAACCTGCTGGAGGGACAACTCTATGAGTTGGTTCTGATTGGATATTATATAACAACAACCAAAAGAGCAGATTAGGCACTGCAGTAAACCAGCATAAATGGGGAGGTACTGATGTCACATAAAGCTCTCCAAAGAACATCTGAAAGAATGCTAAAGAAAAAGTGACCAGGGGTATCCCTTAGACTGGACAGAGAGCTTCCTCTACAGGCTGTCCAAGCTGTCACATTCATTCTGATACGCTCCTGTCTTCTATTTGGCTTTCAAGGCTGTAAATTTCATGGAAAAGACACTAGTCATATTTCTACCTAGGAGTACTGGCAGATTAAAATTGATGATTTCTAAATTAGCACCCACCACCTAACACACAATCAGGAGATTTTCTCCCAAACCAGGCTCCCTGAATTCAGTTTTCTAGGCTCCAAAATGTTAAGAAAATAAGTATCTGTTCAAGCCATCTACTTGGTGTATTTTTACTATGACAATACTAGCAATCTAAGATACAAGGACTTAGAGATTCTTAACTCTTATCAAGAAGGATAAATAAAGCAAAACAAAATTTGGAGCACACACAATTTTGTGGCATTTTATTCTTTCTTAATTCAGATCCATCTGATTATAGTGCACAATGAGTTCACATTACTATATTTTGGTGAAAGATAGTGATTAGTAGCAGTGGTAAATGTTCTCTAAATGTCCTTATTAGCATTGTAATAGTGACTTTTTGGGGAAATTTTAGAAGCTTCTTAAAAGACGCTATTTTGAATCAGATGTTTGTAAAAATACCTATGTTGAGAGCTGATTTGACAGTTTTACTCAATTTATGCCACACTTTCTGTACTATTTATGTGGATGTACTATTTATATTCCGACTTATTTATAAGTAATTTCTGAGAATGGCTCTGACTTGTATCTTCTTGGTTCCTCCATTGAGTAAGTTGGTCATTAATTTTCATGAAGTAAGAAATAGCTTGGGGGATAATTATTTCCTTAATTCTTTCTTTCCTACTTTGTTGTTGTTGTTGCTGTTGTTAAGTGTCACTGAGTTGCTTGCAACTGATGTACAACAGCTATGTACAACAGTTCTGAACCCTGCTCTATCCTGTGCCAACCCCTTTGTCTCTGACACACCTATCCACAGTATTCCAGCCACTGAATCAATCCATCCCATTAAGGGAGGTAATAAATTAGGTAAAGTATTTTTTTTATGCTGAGTGTATTATGTATTCTTACAGTTCAGGGGAGCAGTGGAACAGAGAAAAAAATTCATGGTGAGGCTATATGTAAATTGTCTAAAACCTTGTTATCAGAAATTGCCAGTTGTCAATGTGGTATAAGTTAAAATCTAAAGTTATGTTCATGAAGGAGAATAATTTAATTTAAAATACACATGTTATTTCAGTATTACCATGTGATATTTATTGAGCTTACACACTTGTTATTCATAATACTTTAGTGTTTGGAGATATAATTTTTAAATAGTAATCTTCAAATTCATACTAACACTTTTGTAAAACAATGACATTGGCAAATAAATAAAGAGTGTGAAATTTAGAACTGATAATGTCACAGACTGTGCTCAGTTCTCAGATGTTTGCTAAAAAGCTTTGTTGAGGATAAAGTTCATTTGGAATATTACACACATTGTGACTTGTTTGTCAAATAATTTAGATCTGAGAGATGATCAGCATTTCCAAGTAATAATGAAAGATGGCATTTATTTGGTGTTTTACCAACTTTGAAGTCATACTGGAAAAAAATTTGTAATAGTCAATAGATTCTTTCAAAAAAGATAAACTGGAGATTTCATTTGTGTGTAATATGATCAAGCTTCTGTATGTGGAAATTTAAAGTCATCACAGATTCTCAACATCTTTTTTTGTGTATGAGAAGGAAAGGTGTTTATGACACAGGCAGAGTACTAAGACATTTAGATAACTAAAATTCATCATAAGTAAGTTATCATAACCTCAAAGGCATATACACTTACAGTCAAGAGATATAAATGATGTTATAATGAAGTCTTAATGTTCTCTTAATACTGGTAAATTACAAATTCTATACTAGAAAGAATTAATTTCACAAGGGTAAAGAATCAAGCTGAGAAAGTTATTAATTATGACATTTTTATGAGACTGCAATCAACCTAATTGGTAATTCTTTTCCTATTTCACATTTTAGACTTCTAGATTCAGGATAGATTCTAGGAAAGAAAGGTAAAGTGAAAGTGAAAGGATTACATTTAGCTAAGGAATTTGTCATCTCCATGTCTTCGCATATTTACATGAAATTCATATGTGAAATTGGTAAAATTAAGAAATAGAATTTATTATACCTTTATAAGTCTTTAATGTTAGAAATGGTTCCTTGAAATGTGCATATTTGTACATGTATCTTTCTTAGATGTCTATTAATGAATCTTAAAATATCCTCTGGTGGATACAAATTGCTATAACATGTTGCTTGTTTTCCAGACAGCTAACACTTCCTTGAAAGAACATATTATTAGAAATAATTTACTTAATGGAGATCACAGCTTAGATGCCCATTAAGTACATAAATCTCAAGAGGTTTGTAATAAAGCTATTATTTTCTTGTGTTTTCTTCAATATTTTTACAAATGTTTCCCTGAGTAAGCAAAAAGGTGTTGGAAATAGTCATCATTACCCCTTACTTGGTTGTCACTAAAAAAATACACCCTTGAAGGCTTCCAATTTGGTACTGTTGAGTTGATTCCAACTCATAGTGATCATACCTTGGGTTTCTGAGACTGTAAATCTCTACATAAGAAGACACCTTATCTCTCTATCTCAGAGCAGGGGGCTAGATTTGAACTGCCAGAGACTCACAACCTTTTGGTTATCAGCACCTTCCACTACTCACTAAGCTAGTCAGCAGAGTTCCCACAGTTTCGCCAAAAACATGCTTTAATAACCAAATAATAATACAATTTAATAACCAACATAACTTCACATATAAATATATTCTTTCATTTTATACTTATTTTCACTTCAGAGCTAGTGGGACGCTCCTGGGATCATCTGGGTTAGTGGGAACACCAATAAGCCATTCTACTGACCTGTATAATGATTTCAAGTCATAACCTAATACTAAGGTCATATATAATAATATATAATAGTGATAAGAAAAACATTAAAACGTTCTACAAACATCAATAATATCTTCTATAACCTGGTCTTTGTCTGCTCCTTTCTTTTTCTTTTTTTTTTTTTTTTAATTGTTGAGGTGTTCTTTTTTAAAAATTGCTATTTGAGTAAAAATTCACAAAAAAAATTGGAATTTCACTTATACATGTTTTGCTTTGTTTTGGTTCTTGCCTTCTATTCAATCCACAATATATGCTCTATTCTAGATTGTTAATTGAAATACATAATTTCAGATCTATCTTCCCTTCACATATTCCAAACACTAATATTTATTATCTTTTCTTTCACTTGATCTCTTTAGAAGCTTTCACCTTGAATCCCAATTGAAGCTGTTCCAAATTACATGTGGTTTCCTAACCATACCAGTCTTTGTCCTGTCCCTTACCTTATTTTCATGTTTCCTGCTTAGAAGTTATATGCTACCTCCATCATACTGCTCTCTAGATGGCAAGTTCTAGATTTTCAGCCTGTATCTCCTTAATACAAAGAGGCCTTTTGCTGTGTTTATTGCATACATTGTTCCTTTCGTCTGTCTTGCCTTAATAGAATGGAAACTCCTCTTTGGCAGGCTCTCTGCTTTACTTATTAAATGTTCTAAGTTTTCCAACAATAAAAATGCTTAAGAAATATTGCTTGAATTGATAAATAAAGTGGCAAAAGTTAATACCTGAGTTTTCAATAGGCATTGTAGGTGGAGGTCATATTTTTTTATTACTGTTGAGAGGCATTGCCTAGAAAAGAAAAAAAATTAAAATTACAGGAGGAAACTTAGTTATTTTTATTACCTTCTCATGAGTTCAGTCTGGTCTATGATTCTAGGGTAGAAATTATATAATAAAAGTAATGTTGATATTCCTTTAAAAATTATAAAATATTAATAACTTTATAAGCCATAAATATACTGTAACTGTATATATATAACTGAAAACTGTACAGTGACAAATAATCTATGCTATATCAGTCAGACTTCTTACAGACTGATAATTAAACCTCTTCTTAATTAAAAATACAAGTTGAAAAAGTTTCATAAGCAAATAATGGCACAAATTAACCATAAGAAATGTTAAATATGTACAATCTTATTGAAGTTTTTATTCAGAATTAATTTAATATACATATGATATTGTCTTTGGCATTAAATCTCTGAACTTTTCCTTTTTAAATCTTCATGCTTTGCTTCAGTTTTAAGTATGTTTCACTGGAACAAATGTGATTCAAGTAGAGATTGTTCTGAGTGTCATTGTTCTAAACCATTATAAACATCCTATCTTACTAGCACTGAAAAACATCTAAATTAAGTAGAATAATGAGTCATATATTACAATGCAGCTTTTTAAAAAAAATCAATATATTTATTTGTAGCTGCCATTTCATTTTTTATTATATCATGACTTCAGTTGAAGTCCATCCTTTAATTCAAAGGCAAAATGCATAGAAAAACTGAGCAAAGAGTTTTATGTATTGAATTGTGTCACCTACAAGTATGCATTGAAATCCCAACTCTTATACCAATGGTGTAATCTTACTTAGAAACAATGTTTTTTTTTAAATTTTAAGTACATCATACTAAGAAGAGTGAATTCAAATCTAACAATTTCTGAATTGTGAAAGTAAGTAGACCAGACATAAAGAAGGAACACACACTGGGAAAGGCAGTTGGCACAGAGGATTGTTTACAGCAATGTATTACCAATGACCGCTGACAGTCACCGGTATCTAGGAGAAAAGGTTCATAGTTGGAATCCACTTAGCCAAGACTATAATTTGGATTTTCAGTCTCCAGAAACCTGAAAAAAAAAATAAATTCTTTTTCTTTATAACTACTCACTGCTTCTATTCCTGTTAGTAATAAATATGGAAGATCAAAGAACTGAAGCCTTTGAAATGTGATATTGGTAAATAATGTTGTATATGACGTACTTGTAAAAGAACATGTAAGTCTGCTGTTGAAAGAGTGACACTAGAGTGTTCCTTAGAAGCAATAATGATGACACTTCATGTTTACATACTCTAGTTGTGCTATCTGAAGTGGCCAGTCCCTGGATAAAGACATAATGCTTGGGGGGAAAAATATGTTCTTGTTAATGTTGTTGTTAGGTGCCATCATCTCAAGTATGAGCCATAGTGACTAAATGAACAACAGATCTGAACCTTGTCTTATCCTGTGCCATCTTCACACGTCCTGATACAATCAAGCCCATTATTATAGTCACTGTGTCAACACACCTGGTTGAAGATCTTCCTCTCTTTTGCTGAACCTCAACTTTCCCAAGTATGATGTCCTTCTCCAAGAAATACCCTCTCCTGGCAACATGCTCAAAATATGTGAGGTAAAGCTATGTCATCATTGTCTCCAAGGAGGACTCTGAGTGCTTTTTCTCCACGACATATTTGTTTATTCTTTAGGCAGTGGATGGTCAATACTCTTCTCCAACATGACAGCTCAAGGCACCAATTCTTTTTTTTCTGTCATTCTTATTCATTGTGCATAGCAAGTGATCAGAAAAACTATAGCCTGAATTAGATGCACCTTAGTTCTCAAACTGAAACCATTGTTCTCAATAATCTGGAGAGGTCACTATCTGCAAATTTTCCCAGAGCAATATATCTCCTGATACTCTGACTGCTGGTATCAAGAGTGTTGATTGTGGATCCAGGTAAGATGAAATTGTTTACAGCTACAATCATTTCTCCATCTATCATGATGTTGCCTATTGATCAAGTGGTAAGAATTTCTGTTTTCTCAACATTGAGATGCAATCCATATTGAAAGGTGTATTCTTTGGTCTTCTCCAGCAAGCACTTCAAGTCCTCCTCACTTTCAACAAGTAAGGTTGTGTCATCTGCTAAATTCAGGCTATTGATGAGTTGATGTCACATTTTTCTTCACAGATTACAGTTTCTTGAATAATTATTCAGCATATAGTTAGAATAGGTATAGAGAGAGGATACAGCCCTCATTAACTCCTTTCTCAATTTTAAACTAAGTAGTGTTTCCTTTCTCTGTTAGGACAACAGAATCTTGGTCTAAGTATAGGTTTCCCATGAGCACAATTAAATGTTCTGGGATTCCCGTTTCCAGAAACACACACACACACACACACACACACACACACACACACACACACACAAATTCAGAATAAAAGAGCAAGACTCCCAGATAAGATAGATTGACACAATGACTACAACGATGGGCTTAAGCACAACAGCTATTGTGAATAGGCACAGAATCAGGCAGGGCTTCCTTCTGTTGCACACAGGGTTGGTATGACGTGGAGCTGATTCAAGGCTAGTCCTTAAGAAGTTGTCCTGCTAACACAAGATCGACTCCTGTCTGGCAGTTCAAACCAACAAGCAACTCTGCAGGAGAAAGATGGGCAATCTTTTACTGTGCATTTAATAACCTCAGACACCCAATAGAGTGTCAGCTATGGGTTGATTCCAAATAGACAACAAACAGATAAAAAGGGTGAGAGAGAGAATAACAAACAAACGCAGAGTGAGGAACTGGAAATATTTTTAAATAAAAGTCTGGGAATATTTTTATATAAACCCTAATCCTAAAACAAAAGGCAAGCATATACCTGCTTCAGTGATTTGCTATCAATTATTGTATCTATTTTATAGACAAACTAACAGAAGTTAGGGAAGCTATGTGATATGCTCAATTTATTTTTTTAAAAAAATGTATTTTATTAATTTGTGTGTGTGTGTGTGTGTGTGTGCCGTCAAATCAGATCTGACTGGTACAGGAGGAGATTGCTCCTCCTTCTCCAGCAGAGCATCTGGTGGATTTGAACCGCATGCCTTTGGGATTGCAGTGCAGCTTCTTGCCACTAGGCCACCAGAGCTCAATTTTTAAGATGCAGGGAAGTCAGACGGAGGCAGAAATCAAGTTTTTCTGTTCTCAACTAATAGAAATTTTAATGACATACAAAAATAAGAAAATAAAGCAGAGATAAATTGTATGCCTATATAGCAAAGGCCTACAAAGATCTTTACAAGGCTGAAGATACATCTATTATAGATAACATTTAAGAAAATGTAAAGAAAAAGATGAAATTAGGGTGGAATCAGTTCTGATGGAGTGGCTGTGAATTAAATATCTATATAACGGTCAACCATGAGAGCTCTGGTGACCCAATGAATCAGGACTTGTGCTGCCAACCCAAAGGCAGCTTTTCTTTGGGATAATGATGGGCAGTCTCCTGCCATGTGAGTTATAGTCTGGGAACACCGCTAAAGAGACAATTATTCACGTTTCAACTCAACAACACAACAACAACAATGGTTAACCAGTTTTCTGTCTAATATCCTTTCCTGAAAGCAATCGCACTGAGAAGAAATGGTCCCTCAGTTGAAGCCCAACATCATAGGGTTGGAGAAAAAGGGATGGAAATGTTCAAGTCTGGACCTAGGCTGTTCCTACCAGTTTTCCTTCACTTCTCTTGTCAGCAGAGATGTATACAGCCCTGATTTTATATATTGGATACCTGCACCAGTGGTGGGGCATTGTGATTTCTCAGAGGGATTTCTTAGAACTCTTTTGGTCCAACCATCTTCTCACAATCTCCTCATCAGTGTGTCCATCAGTGTGTCATCAGTTAACAACCACTTTCCAAGCTGTTCAAAATAGATCTCTCTCCTCCAGCATAGCTCTTACCATTTTCTAATGATTTTACTGGGTTTGATGTCTCTCTTTAGAACTGAAAACTATAATCCTTGTTAATAAGTCATCTTCATGTGGTTAATCACAAAATTTGGATCTGATTATGTTTAAAGTGTCCTTTATTGTCCTAATCATTCTGTGATTTTATGGTATGAAGCTGGATATTAGGAGAAATATAAAAGGAAGAAAGATGTATGAGAGGATACAATGGTTTAATGCAGGCCATAATCAATAACTAACAGCTATTCAGTCAATTGAGTAACCTCATTTATGACAGAGTAGAATTAGCTTTATAGGATTTTAAATTATTAATTTTCTAGAAGTATAAAATGAAGCTTTTCTTCCAAGGTATCTCTGGGTGAATTTAAATCTGCAAAATTCCAGTTAGATTACACATTAGCCTTTACTCACAGTTAGCAACAAGGACCATTGTATTTGACTGATACTGAGTAGGGGGCTATGATGATCTCATACATAAAAGAACAAGACATATTTGTACCATATTCATGATTATCAGTATATTTGTGTATATTTTGAAACCTGTTGGATTCATCCTAATGAATTTTCTTTCATTTTCACTATCTACTTTACCAAACATGTCCTTTTCCTGCAATTAGTGCTTTTCGATTACAGAGCCAAAGTAAATGAGATGAAGTCTTATCATCCTTGACTTTTTGTAACATTCTGACTATTTCTTTTAAGACTTAGTTTGTCTTTTTTTTCTGGCAATCCGTAGTATATTAACAATTCTTTGCCAACACTTAGATTTAGGTGCATCAGATTGTCTGTCTTCCTTTGTTATCATTCAGATTTTACATGCATGTAAGTAAGTGAAAAGATCTTGATTTGGTCCAGTTTCATCTTAGTCATCAATCATCTTAGTCATCAGTTATCTTTGCTTTTTAATCACTTTAAAGTGATTTTTTCTGAAGCAGATTTTTTTCCAAATGCAACATCATTAGATTTCTTTTTTTCCTATAATTTTATTTTATTAATTTTCATAAACATTTACAGAGATTTTGGGTTTCCATTCATTCATTGTTGCACTATTCTCTCTA